GATGTTATATAAAAATGGGCTGCATGGCTACCTAACTTGTGACGTTATTATTGGGGGTTGCCTTAACACTAATAATGATACACTTCTCTGCCCTCTTATTCGAGTAAATTATTCAGTTAAATGGAGATTTCTGTCAGGTGCAAAACAGAAATTGTTGTTCTTTTTCACAACAACCTTGTTGTTGTGCACAAGGACCTATTTCTTAGTTTAAATTTTATTCATAAAAGAGTGTTGGTATTCCCCACAACAGCCAATCACAGGACGGTATTTCTGGAAGCTCCGCCTCCTTATGGACTCAGCACATCGCTCTAGCTCATGGCTCTCTGTTTCATCTCTTGTATATACAAACTATGACTTTTTTCGATTACTGTTATAATTAATAATATGAGATATAAAAGTTTTTACACAAAATGGCTAAATTCTGCCATTAAATGGACTTTGTCTGGTATACATACAAACATACACCAATTTATTACCATTCATTCATTATTAATTTCAAATGTAATGTATACTGTCTAGTTTTTTCCTCTCGCCATTACTTGGTGCAATATTTGAGAGTTGTCTATTTATTTATCGATCTATCTATTATCTTGTATTTATATTTACAAGTTTCTGTGCTTGGAAGAAAACTCTGCATTGAATTGGGACTAATTTATTAAATAATATTATTTAGTATTAATTAATATTTACAATTATTATTAATTACAATTATTTATAGCTTAGTTACTTTCATGTAATTCGCAATCGTACATTCTTAACTTTAATAGCCCAAATTAGCACATCTTGCTTTTAAATTAGCCCAAAAAGTAGCAAGTAGAGAAATTAAAAATTTGGGGGCGCGGGGCTCTCAAAAGTAGCCCAATTCGCTATTTGTAGCCCAATCTGGCAACACTGCCAGGTAAGTTACGGGCTCACCATAGCCCGTGCTACTTGGAACTTGTTCAGTGGCTGAATCTATAACAACAGCAACAACAACTGCACTGTGTAATCTTTCATATAGAATAGAGTAGCAGCACATTACTTGTGTATGCTAAGCTTGTTAATAATAATAAAAAAATCTGTAAGGTAGGCAGTTCCATGGGTTTATAACCCTGTAAAGAAAGCATCTCTCGTCAGTCACAGCCCCGCTCCTGTGCCAGGTAAGTCCACTACGGGCTCACCATAGCCCGTGCTACTTGCAACTTTTTTGTTCAGTTGCTTAATCTAAAACAACAACATCTCCTGTTTTCAGTTTTCCAATAATGTGGCTTGTTGAGAGTGAACCCGATATTCCTTGTTTGTGTTACATCTGACCTTTGGAAGAAATTGTCCACATCAACATCCTCCAATTCGTACCTTGAGTGTATCAATTAAATTCAATTTCTTTCTTTATTATGCACCCCATACCCATCCCGTGGGTAGTGGTGTAAAGGATTACAAAGGCACATAATAAGTGTATCGCGATCCCCCTTGAGGTCGAACTACTGACCTTCCCCAAGATGCTGTGTAACCCCACAACAGTTGCCTAATTTGAACTAAGGAATAGTTACCCTAGATTAGAAATGTGCAAATGTCACCCCTCTTTAAAAGAAAAAGCAGAAAGAGCTCAGCAGAAAACTATCGGCCGATCAGGTTTACATCATACATTTACAAGCTCATGGAAAAAATCCTCAGAGAAGGTATCATTCACAATCTTGTAAAATCAATCAATCAAACCCCCAAAATGGGTTTGTTAACAATAGATCCTTCCCAACAAACCAGCTCACATTTTTTGAAACAGTAACCAGCTACTCTGACAAAGGACTTCTGGTAGATGTAGTTTACATGGCCTTTGCTGAAGCTTTTGACAAGGTACCAAATGAAAGACTGGCAAGGAAATTATAGGCTCATGGAATAAATGGTAGAATACTGGAATGGATAAAACAATGGTTAAAAACAAAGGATCGTTCTAAATGAAAGAGAATCTGAATGGAGAAGTGTGGTGAGTGGGGGTACCACAGGGGTCCATTTTGAGGCCAACCCATTTTGTCATTTACCTGAGGGCCACTAACACTAGTGGATTCGATGAGAACAGGAAGCCGGAAGGTGCCCCCATGTGCTTTGATAATCTTTTCAAGTTGTACAGTACCTTAATATTTAAGTTTTGGCATTTATGACTTCTGTGGGTAAGTGGTTTCATGGGTTAATAAACCTGTGAGTGAAAAAGCATCTGTTGTCATTCCTACACTGTGGTTTGTTGAGCTTGAAACTGTTGCTCCTTGCTTGTTACATCTGACCTTTTGAAGAAATTTTTCAGATCAACATCCTCCAAATTGTTCAGTATTTTAAAAGATACATCTATGTCATATACTGTACATCAATGACATAGATGAGAATATTACAAACTACATCATGAAATTTGAAGATGACACTGAAGATTATGGTAAAGTGGGAAGTGAAAATAATACCGAGGTACAAAGCTATCTACATGAACTCCACAAATGGTCAGAAGACTGGAAAGTGCATTTTAATATCAATATATTCAAGACCTTGCATGTGGGGCATAATAATCCACATCACAAGTGTCAAATTAACAGCATTACCTTGCAACAAATTCATGAAGAAAAGGACCTTGGAGTCAGATTCCATCATTCACTGGAAGTTGCACAAGTGGGAGCAGCAGCAGTTAAAAAAAAATAACCAAACCCTAGGAATAATCAACTGTACCTTTGACTTTAAGGAAAATAAGGTAATCATTCAATTGTACAAATTTCTGGTGTGCCCTCACCTGGATTATTGCATCCAGGAATAGAGACCTCATCTTCAGAAATACATGGCTTCATAGGAGAGTGTTCAACAACAGAGCAATAAAAATAATTCCAGAACTAAGTCAACTCTCATACCAGGAAAGGTTGAGGGCCACAGGGCTAACAACATTACAAAATAGACTTGTCAAGGCTGATATCCAAAACTTTCAAAATTCATACTAATGGAATTATACGAATAACTGTAAAGTTTGATAAATCTACCATTATGGTTTTTTGGCTTATTTCCTTATTTATTTATATAAGATATAAATTATATATATATATTGTGCCTGGACCTCAAGAACACATACTGGTATGTCCAGATTCATCTAGGGTGCAGGGATTAGTTGTCTCATTATGGAGAATTGAGTGTACCACTTTAAAGCTCCTTGCATTTTTATCAGGTTATTGCTGGTAGTTGTGATCTGGCAACATCTCTTAAGGGTTCATGTGGTGGCCTACCTTGACAATTGGCAGGTTTGGGCCCCCCATCCAATCTGCATGTTGGATACTGTCCAGACTGGAACTGTACTTGGGCAGGGTTATATTTCTGGTGACCAGCTCAGCCATAGTACCTACCCTAGTGCCCAATCCCAGGCATTTTCTGCAGCTCCACCTCTTTCAACAACTTGACCTGATTTTGTCGTTTTGATGCTTTGTTTCCTAAGAATGATGCAGTTGTCAGTAAAGATTTGTTGACTTTCTGGATGTTTTCCCAGTGTGAGTGACAATAATAATTCTCTCCTCCTTGCTACTCTGAAGGGGCCAGGTACTGACTCTGGTCTCCCATAAGCCTAACTGGACTCCTGTGACTGATGAGCCATAGTAAAGAGTGATTTAATTGGGTAAAAACTTAATGTTTGTAACAAGGATTTGATTGTAATGATTATGGAATACTGAAATTATAAATAAGTATCTGAAAGTAACAAAAAACAGTACTGTAGACTGTAATAATTTACTAAGTTAAATTATGAGATTTATTTGATTATTTTTAAAATGTTATGAAGGGACTTGATGTGGTGCACATTGAGCAAAATTTAAACCAATTCCTGCCCAATGCTACTCTAAAGGTAAATTTATTATACTGTACTTGCATTTATATAGAAAATAAATAAATTATTCAAACAAGATACAGTAATCATAATATTAGTTTGTAGTTTCAATAAATTACCTATTTCTGCAATATTTGTGGATGTAAATTTTGTAGTAGGTTTTATATTGGGAAATTTGGGTGTGTGAATGTGTCAAATAGAAATTTGCATGAAACCATTAAAATTATCAGATGGATCTTGGCTTAGTATGCAGATATATACCCACACAAATTCACTTCTAACAACATTTATATCTCTCTTGAGATTTAAACAAATAACAATGCCTATTCCTCAACCTGTATTGGCCTAAAAGTGGAAAAAAACTTGCATAGGTCACTAAAAGAAATGGGAAGAAACTAGACATGTACAAATATTGTACTGTATACTAGAACATTCATATTAAGATTTCAAAGTGTTCTAGTTATTAATTAATTAAAAAATAGTGCATAATTGAGTGCTCTAGTCACTATAGAGATCATAAGAATGTACTTTACAAACACTGACAATTTCTAAAAAAATATATTTTTCAAAGATATGCAAATCACAATAATTAAGGCAAAAATTTTCATTTTATAACTTTCAAATATGGTATATGTTTATTCCTTCCAGAAATAGGAAGAAAAGCTAATTGTATATGCAGAATTATACAGTACATTAAAAATACACCATCTTGTATATGTATCCTGAGATTGTTTTTCCATAATGCAGTACTGTACTTTACAAAAGCGAGTGAAAGTGATACACCACTAGAGGCAACTATCCATTGTTGTTACTGCCTTCCCCCCTCCCTTGATATTTGATTTACACAACCCATAGTATAAGATGATGAGGAAACAATGACAATTTGGTCAGTCCTGGACCATTATAAAATCAATTGTGATAATCAACAATCGACTTTATAACGGTCCAGGATGGACCAAACCGTCGTCTCCTCATGTTGGGTGTGTGGTTTGGTCATCATATCTTCAGCACATTATTGTGACTCATCGTCTGCACAGTATAAGAACATTAAGGCTTAATTTAACAAACTATGGAAAGAGTTTGTCTTAAGTTATTCTTAATGCATTTATACATATTGGCACAAAATGTATACTTTTAAGATCCTTGCTATGTTAACACATTTCTAAAAGGTTAATAAAAGAAATTTTATTGTAGATAGTACATACCATTCCAGCTTGACAGTGCAACACTGTTAACACAATAATACCTCACATAGTCTAATATTATTAATGATAGCAAAAAGCTATTTTAGACCATGTATACATTTATGAAAGTACACAATACTATATAGTAAAATACAGCATTAATCAGGGCACACGTAATGTATAATCCACGTGCTCCATTTTTACTAGTCAACTGCTCACTCAACAGACTTTCAGTACCATCCACCTATTTAAAGCCACAAAAGGAATTTTTCCATCTCACTAATACTATCATGGTTTTAATTCTTCATTTCATTGATATTATTTGCTTTCAGATAAACCATGTATGTATACAAATGTATACTCGAGATTCCTCACATGTCAAATTTCTGAGCTCTGCATAAACTTAAGGTAAAAATTGAACCATGAAACTGGTGCAATATTCATTGATCATAATAAACCTCTTTTGGTCCTACAAACTCTTAAAAATTTAAAGTACGGAGTATTAAAACAGTGAATGGTAATCAAAAGACCATTTCTCTCACAAGATCCTTATATCTTGATTTCACATTGATTGACATTATCTAATGTTTCATTTACATTAACTTAAAATTTCAATATTATTTTTCCCCATTTACTTTTCAGTTAATCATCCACTGTACATAAAAATACAGTAATATCATTACAATAAGTAATCTATACATTCTTGTCGCCTTAAGTCAAATACAGTATTAATTTTCAGATTATTATATTTTAAATCAATAAAATTTACATATAATTCTGTATGTTTCACACTTACAATCTACTTCAGAATTGGCTTAATTTAAAATGCAGTTTCTATTTGATAAGTAATTATCAAAAGAAAGTGCTATGTCAGTACAGCTATATAGCATTCTCCTTGACAAATACAAATATTATCTTGAGAAATGCTTAGATTGAAAACACAGCCCAACCTGAATAATTTAACAAGTCACTGTTTTATTATATTTAATTCAAAAGCTCAAATATACACAATCCAAAGACATCTGCATATCTTATTTTCATTCTAATAAACCAACCATAATGTGTGTGTCACAATATCCTTGCAGTTCTGTTCACATTCAACTCTTTGTTCATAATATGGATCTCATTTAGTGTACATGACCTATGGTAAATGTTGCAGCTCACTAAACCGGGTCAGATTAATTTGTATTCATTATATGCTGATTTCATGAAACTGCCAGTCCAACTTATAATTGCTGCTTTTATAGCTTGAATTTCTGAACCAATTAAAACAAAGGCATTTAAATTCAATGGCTGCTGAGGTGACAATTAAGTTTTTAATGTGATTTTGATTACGAAACACTATTTCATTGTGGAACATGAAAATATTAGTTATAACATATGGAATAAATTCTTTAGCATGCTGTAGTACATAATAGAAAAAAAAAGGTTTTCAGAAGAAATATTGAAACAATTAATTGTACATCACTGAAATACAGTACAGTTATTATAGGTATGTACAGGCATTTCTCAGTTTTATAAGCCAGCAATATCTTACTGGATAAATAAAATTTATATTACTATCAATCTACATGCAGCTTTATTTGCTTTAGTGAACAATTTTTAAAAACTCTCACTACTTGGACTTTTGATTTTCTTCACATGGAAAATTTAACCTCAGTTTTCTGAGCAGAAGCCTTGCATCATATGTGCACAGATATTAATATTGCACATGATAAAAAGATTCTTAAAAACCCACATTACCTATACAGTAGTCTACTTGTCAGTGATTCCGAGGATCAATGTTCCCATGACCCGGTCTCAAACCAGGCCTCCTATTTGGTGGCCTAGTCAACCAAGCTGTTTGATGTGGCTGTATCACCCATATACTTTTTAAGACAAGAACTCTTAATTAATTTAACATTGTATATAGAGGAACTAAACTAGGATCAAATTGTTTAGAACTCTAATGCTCTAACAGTTTCTGAATTTATTTATCTGGTAATCTATGAAATAACCCACATTTTAGCCTGACTGTACACAACTGATGGATGCACGTGTGTTTCAGAGAATGATTTATGCATGATACCTTTTGCCAGAAACAGCATATATGAACCTGACCTACTAACAAGATATTCCAAATTTGATGCTCGAAGTTTGCTATAGTGTACAATTTGCATATGTGACCAAGGGACTATTCAAGTTCTTACATTTTGAAACCAGCCTCAAAATCTACTGACCAATGAAAAAATGATGTCTTAGCTAGATGATTAGGGAGGTAATAAGAGGGATGTGGGATGCATAGAAACTTTTTTTTCCTTTTTTTTTTCAGGTCAATGGCCAAGTGTATATACAAAGCTGTTGCCCAGGCAACTCTGTGTAGATTTTCCAAGGAATCTATTGGGTACAAATTTAATTACCGACTCTGTACTTTATGCCCTGCTTTATGTGTGATAATCAATGGAATTTAGCCAATGTCTTGGACAGCATGATGGAGGCATGTGGGTTCTGGATGAATCTTTTCTCGCATTGACTTTGAGTGGCAGAGTGTGTGTGTGTGTGTGTATATGTGCACGTGTGTATGTGCGCGTGCGTATGTGTGCTTGCATGCACGCAATGTATTATGCTGCTGCCCACGAGGAAAGGAAGGCAAGGGGGGTTGGTAGATGCATATTTGTTCAACTGCAGATGTTATTGTTTGAGTGTTTAATTCTGTCTTGTATGTACATCTACTCATTCAGTAATATCAACATGAGAAGTATATGCTTGTAGTGTCAAGACAATAAATAACTTGATGACTTCTGAAATGCTGTTTTTATGCATTAAATTTGTGGTACACACTTAAAAGAAGATACTAAATAACTGCATTCTACAATGTTGATTGATAAAATTGTACAACAAATTTGATGAAAGTTTTCTGCAAATAAATTTGGTTTTCTTCTGTGGACAGTATACTTATATATTATTTATGTTATCACTCAATATGAATGACATCATGAATTATCTCTTCACATTTTACTCCTTCAATACATTTTTATTTTGTACAATCTAAAAAAAACTTTCAATACTGACTGAAGTTGCAATGCATTAATGATAAGTTATAATGTATTATAAATAGATGAAATACATTAATGCTAATGATGTTACATATGAAAATGCATGCTTGTGATATATTAGTAGTATTTTTTTTGTATTATGCAAGGTTTTTTAGTGTTCTAAATGATACACACAAAATGACAAAGGTTTGACCTGCATTTGATTGGTTTATGCTTTTTTATTTCCTTCCAGAGCAATATGTAACAAGCTTCATAATCTTAAAATTCTTGATTATCAGCAAGAGACTGCTGTTATGATAATAATGGCGGTCTTTAAAATTACTGTAATTATTGATGCCTGTACCTTCAGGTCTCCATCTGGAATGCTATTTAATTCCTACAAACTAATCTCCAGGTCCTAAGAGTTTCTTCCTGTCCTGTTTAAAATGATTACAGGATTTATCCAGGATAGCTGCAGCTCTGAGGATATTGAGGAGAGGGAGCATCCATTGCAACAGCTGTTAATCTACACAGTAGATATTTTCTGGCATGGAAGAAAATGAGGCATTTCATCCTAGATGGGGACATGGAGGGCATCAAGTACCTGAATGACCAAATAAATTTTTCATGGTAAGGATAAGGGGGTTACAGTAATATTTAGCTCAATGATGCTTATTTAATACTGAAATTTTGTGCATCTTCCTAAATATTTTAACAGTGCACCTTGTTAAATTGCACCAAATTCTAGTGATTAAAAAGTGCATTTTTATTGAAGTTGGACTATATTTGCTTTAATAATTATAAGACTAAATAAGCGTATGTGTCTTATGTAGATACATTTTCATGACAGTTTTCTTTCATATGTAACAATAACAGGATTGAAATTTGCATATTGCCTGTTAATCGGCCATCAATATATCTAAAACCTTAAATGTGTACAAAAACAACTACTGACTGTGAAACTTGGCAGGTGTTGGTGCTTACCATCAAGGGTAAGCAATTGGACCCCTGGAAATGCATTTCTGCTGGATTAAAAGTCTTCAGGCGTAGTCACTCCTAAGTTATTCACCATGTGGACATCAACCAAACCAGGTGCATTTACATTTTAATACAAGACATGTTTGATCCAAGTATTGTACTTAAATCTTTCAAAAAGAGAATTTAAATACTGTACTGTAATACTGTAATATACTTTAGAATATTAGAATATGCTTGTACAGTCTATAAGCTGTAGTCCAAGAGTCCTACTTAATATTCAAATTAAAAATTTTAATAAATATTTTGTTAACACTATAGGAAGAAGTCTTTAGAGGGTGACATTACCATATATAATACTAGTAGCTTATACCAAGTGTGAGGCTTTCATATCATTATTTAGCTGTTGTATAGCACTATACATTTGTAATATGCTTATTACATAAACAAACTGGATAAATGTCAATGAATTAAGTATTCTGTATGCCCCTTAATAAAATGGTTCAAAAATTTATTCATTTATTTGTTTCACTTAAGGTTTAGACATTTCAATATGCTGACATTTGACAGGTATTATGTCAAACAGTCATGTAATTTCCATCAACTGTAGATATACTGTACTCTATTGTCTTATTAATGTCATCTATATTATAAATTATCTAAATTGTGCCTCAAATAATGTTTCAGACACTCGCTAATATTACAGTAACAAGTTTAAATTATGAACATAATAATCTTTGCTAATACAATTTATGTGTTCAGTTTGTTTCATTTGAACCATAAAAACTTGTATTAAATTAGATGGTGTGTCTCATTGTCCAATATAATGGTTAGATGATAATGTATTTAAGTGTAATTGCTTATACTTAGTATGAAATCCAAGCACATTTTCATACCAATATAAAAGTCTTAAATTTGGTTATGAGAATTCTGATAAGCTTTTGGTTATAGATTTAGGTATACAAGTAAAGCTTGAAGCACAAACTGGACTCGATACAGTGTAAATTTTACATGGTAAATTCTTAAATGAGTTCACTTCAGTTTCTTCAATGGATGAACCTGCTGCAAACACTTATGTTTTAGATATACCAGTATGTTCTGGCCAGGGACATACAAACACTTACAAGCAGTCATCACTATATATGCAAGGTAGAAGCCAAATTTATATTATCTATTTGTTTTGTTTGGCATCTTTATATAGTCCTGGATAAAATAGATAAATATAGCCACAGTGACAATTATAGGCTGCTGTTCTGTTGTTGCATAGTGAGAATTCACTCGGCAGTTCATTCAGGGAAGACTGGCCATTACTTCCAGGGTTCACGAGCACTTGGCCTGAAGCTCGTGAGAGGACGTCAACAGCTGCTGACTGCATGATGAAAGTCGGGGCTTGGTATTGGTGCCACTTGTAGGGACTGCCTTGCTACTCATCCCTGTTAAGGGACATGTGTTAATTAATTACTTTATCCATGCAATCTCCTGTCTCATATCGAGTGTCTCAATATAAACATCTGACAAAGAAATCCACACTTCCGTGGAAATAAACATTCCATTCACCTGGACTATATGGGTCTTGAAATGTGGACCCCACGTGAGTGAGGCCGCAGCTCTATCGACTGGGTGCTACTCATAGCCGAGTCGATAGTGATACAGCCTCACACGTGTGGGGTCCACGGTTCGAGACTCAGTCCAGGAGAATAGAATCTGACAAAGACCTCCAAATACTTGTGCAAATTTGCTCATATTTTCATTAGCATCACCATTTTTTACCAGCAGTTCAACATTATTGTTCACTGCACTGTCAAGTTTTTCACACATACAAACATACATTATCATTACCCCATTCCCACTTTCATGGGTAAACAAGTTTTTCACTAAACTAAAACTTAAATCAGATTCAAGACTTAAATATCTTAAACAGCTCACTTCAAGAAATGTTTAACTTGACTTTTAATCTCTATATTTACAGACAGATCTCCAGATAACTCTTGCCTTGACAGGTAACTATAAATGATTGACAAAAAAAAAAAAAAAATTATCTTCCACTAACAAAATTATTGTTTTGTACTATCACTGTGGGAGAAAAATACTGTACTGTATAGTATTCAGGATTTTTTGTAATAACCATTAACACTTTGTTAGTCCCCTGAGGTGTTTTATTCACTCCATCACAAAATATTCCAATTAAAAAATAATTTTAGTCAGTCATATAATTTAACATGGATGCACAGTACAGTATAGTGATATTTCATTATCGTGTGATTCTGTACATTAATTTCTCACGATGAATTCTGCTGAAAAGAATAGCAATTTTCTTTTACTTAATGGATGGTTTGTTTGGGGTGTTTAATCACCCCAGGCTACTAATGAAGGGTTAAGGATACAATAGTTTGGATATTGAGAGGAGATTCAAAGAAAGTATTTAATTTTATAAACAACTTTCATAATTTATTTTTAGTAATGTACTGTACTTTTATTAAATAAAATTTGTACAGGTATTTTACAATTGTTTTATACTGAAGCTATGAAAACACACCTCTAATTACAGACTTTCTCTTCTTGTGAGCGATTTTATCATCATCTAATTGGTCTGAGATTGTGACTTTGCTGGAGGAGACATGGTCGTGGGAGAGGTTGCCTGAATGAAGGTTTTCGGTACTACGGCTCTTGGAGGACTGGTCCACTGAAGTGAATTTTTTCCTTGGGGGTCCTGGTTTGGTATCGCCAGAGTTGAAACCTTCACTGGGCGCCACTGTATGCTGCTTGGTGAGGGTGCTGCCCCCCTGCCTGGCGACACCAATTTTGAGCTGAAGGGGGGCATAACAGGAGGGGATAGTTCCCACACAAGATGTTTCAGTCGAGTCTGCAGGGACACTGGCTGCTCCAATTAGCTTGGGAATAGCACTGGTAACTGGTGACGGAGGATTTTCACATAACTTGGCTACATCCGATCGTGACCCAGAGCCATCACCTATCTGAAATGAAAGATGGAAAATGTGAAAGTAGTTTCAAGTAGCTCTCATTGTGTTTGGCACACTTTTAAACAATACTCATAAAGCTGTACATTAAACATGAGAAACCTGCATTTAAAATGGGTATCATATTAAGAGCCAAAAAAAGGCAGCTATAATTGTCATTATTATAACTAATAATACTAAGAAATTTGGACCCTGAGCCCATGACTAATCTACTTTATGCGACTTTAAATAAAGTACAGTATTAATGTAAATTATGCAAATTGTATAACTACTATATATTCTGTAACAGGTAACGCAAACAATTTGATAAGGGATGTTGCTACTTACTATTTAGAACAAATTATTTGCGTTACATGGATTGATCAGTTGGGGAAATGCACATCACTGAAAAGGTTGGTGAAAGCATGCATTATGCAGTAAGAGCAGATCATATGTGCAGAAGAAAGAGAAAAAATTGAAGGAAAACCTGAGAGACTTAAGTCATAATCTATCTGGCCAGAAACAACCGAAGCCACTAATACTAAACACTTCCACCTCTTGTCAATGTTGAGGGAAGCCCATCTTGGTCTCCTACATAAAAATCTTGGTCCTCTGGGCTCCTTCGTCGACTGTCTGTTCTTCCATGTCTTTCTTCATGCTTCACTATGATGCAATGATTTTGCAGGATGAAGCAGTCAGCACTTGTGACTTGGTAGCCTTGCCATGTGCCAAGGAAATGAAAAGTTTGGGGTAGGGCCACCTTCTCTTTTTGTTCATTTTGAGTAAAGCATTGAAACCTTGAAGAATTTAGATAGTTGCCTTTTGAATGTATTACTTTAATGTACTATTAATTACTACCAGGAGAAAATAAACCCTACTTTTGTACAGTGTATTCCTCAATGGCTGATAAAAACTTTACTCTGAATCAGTACATAATAATTAAAAATCCAAGCCAAGGCTACAAAATCATGCAAACAAGCTACACCAGGTCACTGAATGCAAGCCTAACACTTGCTCACTTACTGCTACTACCTCTTACCATTTTAGCATGTCACAAGAGATTCCCAAAAATCCAGTCGGGTATGAGGTTGTCTAGTGAGAAATAGCAAGCAACAGTAAATGATTAACAACAATATATTTATGGACAGCTTTGCTTAAATATATGAAATTAAGTAGCTATGCAGTATTTTCAATTCAATTCAATTAACAAAAATGTTACATTTCTGGTGAAGCTCAAGACAGGATCCTTCAATATGGCCACTTGATGTACATATGAAGAGCATGTCATACAATTAAGTTTAAAATTTGTATACAAGATTTGTTATTTTGAATTATGGTTTAAAAATATTATGATTGGCAGAGCTGTTCATAAATTTTATAATGTTGTTATTATGCTGTTTAACAAGATATGTATGTCATAAAACAAGGCTATTTAAAAACCAATAAGAAGAGAGCTTTATAATTATCATACTCTATCTTTACCTAAAGTTTTAAGATTTAATAAGACTTTAAGTTCATCTGTGAAACAGCATTACTTGTACTCAGTGAGCAGATGGGCTTGAGGCATAGCTGATGGGATAAGAGTAGGTGGCCGCCCACACAAACCAAGACACACGTACCGCACTAGGAGAGCCCGATACTGGGCCATGAGATCCCCTGGGGCTGCCCCCACCTCCTGGCTGGGACAACACCCCAGGGGGAGTCCCTGGATGAGAGCCTGGGCTAGATGAGCCAGGCTCCACCAACGTGGACTGAATGCCCAAGGTGAGCACCTGGCTGGGCTTGGTTGTGGTGCCCTGTTGGAATTCTGGCGGCGGAGGGCGTTGAATCCAGTTGTACTGCCTCTTCTCCACTGGAACTCCCCATCTCTCCAACTCTATGTACTGTACATGTGAGACAAGTTACACCAGATTTCATCATTATCAATTATTGGAAGAACCTGTAACATCAAAGCCCATGTGTTATCAGAAGATGCCATTACTGTACCTGACTTCAGGAAACCCGCAGCAAACAGCAACTTGGTGAGGAGACTGAAAATATGGCCAAGATATGTCACGTATGTCATTAATGTAAAGAAAGAGTGAAGGCTGGGATAATGAGAGCCACACAGCCAGACATGGAAGACATGAGGTAACACACCCGGGCACAGGTGAAGGAGGGATAGAGGCTCACCTGGTTCTTGAGCGAAGAGTAGCAGTCCTTACAAACCACCACGGAGTGGCCATTATCAACCACCATGCCACCTGTTGGCCTATTGTGTTCCTTCAGGAATGGATAATCCTGGAAAAGGAATGGCAAGATATCATTAGTAGGTTTTTTATCAAATAAATACCACACCATAATCATAAATTTGTGAAAAGTTTTACTTAAATGAGTTAAAAGTGAGATCGTTGTGAGATCATATATAAATAGCACAACAGACAGAGAAAAATCAAATCATAAATCAGACTTTGTATATGAAAAGCTCCTCTCTGAGCAGTATATTTTTTTGCCCCCTTAAATGAGACTTTGTACTGTATGTGAAAAGCTCCTTTCTGAGCAGTATACTAGTACTTCTTTGCCCCTTTAAACAAGACTTTGTATATGAAAAACTCCTTTCTGAGCCGTATACTTGTTTGGTCCCTTAACCTGCTGTTTCCATGTCTTACCTTTTGGTTACCCTTTGTTGGTTCTTAGGATCAATGTTCCCACAGCTCGGACACTGATCAGGCCTCCTGGTTGGTGGTCTGGCCAGCTAGATGCGGCTGCTCGCAGCCTGACATGAATCACCAAAACAAATTCAGAACTAGAAAACTGGATTAATTCGACAGAAATTGCAAGATGGCAAGAGAACAAGACAAAAAAATGGAATCAATATAGAAGAGGCCAAACCCTCAAACATACCAGCAATACAAAGAACCAAGAAATTTTTAAAAAGAGATAGCAGACAAATGTAAAACAGAACCAGGCCTATTCTATTAATTAATTAAAAGCAAATTGCAGGCAAAGGATAAAACTTCAATGTTGAAAATGAGGAACAGATTCATGAAGAATGAAAAAAGAAATGTATGAAACACTAAATGAACAAATCCAAAGTGTGTTTGTGCAAAATTAAGTTTTCAGAGAACCAGACACAATACAAATGTCCGAGAATAACAGAGTATACTGTACAGAGGTGTCTTGAGATGAAGTGGAAAAAAATGTTCAAGGAGCTAAATAGAAACAAAGCAGTTGGCCCAGATGGAGTTTAACCTTGGATTCTATAAGTGCGCTCAGCATTCCACTTCAATTGATTTTCAGTCATCTTTGTGTATAGGAGTCTTTGCAGATACAGTACTGTACAGTACAGTGTACTGTATATGGAAATTGGCTAAATATTTCCAATCTACAAAAACTGATTGCAAGGAAGACCCTCTTTATTATAGGCCTGCATTGTTGACAAGTATTGTAGTAAAAACATTGAAAAAAAGTAATTAACATTAAATGGGAAGAACACCTGTTAGAAATTATATAATCACAGATAGTATGGTTTTCGATCAGGAAGATACAATGTAACAAATCTTCTTAGTTTCTATGATAGAGCCACAGAGATTTTACAGGAAAGATATGGCTGGGTTGATTGCATTTATCTGGACCTAATAAAGGCTTTTGACAGTCCCACATAGGTGGTTGTTATGGAAACCAGAACATGCTGAAGGAGTGACTTCTGATATGATGATAAATATTTCAAGTGCAAGAAAAATGAGGGGCAATAATCAGAGGCAATGTATCAGACTGGAGAAGTACTCACTTAATTGTGCTTGCCTGGGATGAGATACCTATGCCTATTGGGCTCTATCATATCTACACTTGAAACTCTGTATGAAGTCTGCCTCCACCACATCATTGTCTAGTGCATTCCATTTGTCAACTACAGTACTCTGACACTAAAAAAAAAAAAAAGTGCTTTCTAATGTCTCTATGTCTCATTTGGTTACTCAATTTCCACCTGTGTCCCTTTGTGCATGTGTCACGTGTGTTAAATAAACTGTCTTTATCTACCCTATCAATTCCTCTGAGAATCTTGTATGTGGTGATCATGTCTCCCCTGAACAACAGTGGAGTACAACAGGGTTCAGTTCTAGCACAATAATGTTCATTGTCTATGTAAACAATCTACCTGAAGGAATACAGAATCATATTAACACGCTTGTTGATGGTGCCAAGCTACTAGGGAATACAGTATAACAAACTTAGTCGATTGTAATGACATTCAAGAAGACCTGGATAAAATAAGTGTATGGAACAACTCTTGGCAAATGGAATTTAATGTGAATAAATGCCATATTGTGGAATTCAAATGGTGGAAGTGCTGATAATAAAAATAGAGGTCTAAAATGTGGTTATTGACCTTGTATAAAGGTCACGGGAGGCAAGTCCTCAGCACTTTAAGACCTGCTCACGAAAATAGAATAGTGCTTAGAAAACCTCACAAATCCAGCCCCAATCATCATCTTGCTTGAGGACTTCAGTCTACGGCACCTAAACTGGAAGAACGTAGCTAATACAGTTACTGTATATCCGAGAGAATCCTAGGAAATATCGGTCCAGGACACACGAACACAGCTGACAGCAGCATACTTCGAAGCCATGGGCATGAGGGTAGACCACAGGCTGGCTAGACAGCAGCATACTTCCTGAAGCCATGGGCATGAGGGTAGACAGCAGCATACTTCCTGAAGTCATGGGCATGAGGGTAGAGACAGCAGCATACTTCCTGAAGCCATGGGCATGAGGGTAGAGACAGCAGCATACTTCCTGAAGCCATGGGCATGAGGGTAGACAGCAGCATACTTCCTGAAGCCATGGGCATGAGGAATACCATTGCAAACGACCAGGAAATACGAGCTGTGGAACAGGGGCCCAAGGCAACAGGATCAACCCACAAATCATCAACCGAAGCAAAATTGGTGGCACGAAAGTAAAAGGCATATGTAGTCATTCACTCACGCTCATGTATGCATACTCTGAATTTCTGAGTAGTTAAGTTGAAACGCAACAGGGGCAAGGCTAGAAGGTCGGGCATAAAGAGCTTCCCCGTAGATACTAACATGATAAAGAGCTTCCCCGTAGATACTAACATGTAAGTAAGTACTTCCTGGTACTAAAGAATGGGCTCCTGCATGTTAAGTGGGTAGCCTAGGTTTTGATTATGGTTAGGCTAAACCACTGCATTATTTTACGGATGGGTAATCAATATCAAGTATTCACCTAGTTGTGCTTTCGGGGTTGAGCTCTGCTCTTTCGGCCCGCCTCTCCACTGTCAATCAACTGTTTCTACTACTACTACAGTACTATTTTTTTCCCCACACTACACACACACATACCCCAGGAAGCAGCCCGTGACAGCTCACTAACTCCCAGGTACCTATTTACTGCTAGATAACAGGGGCATAGGGGTGAAAGAAACTCTGCCCGTCATTTCTCGCCGGCACCCGGGATAGAACCCAGGACCACAGGATCACGTGCCCAGCGTGCTGTCCGCTCGGCCACCGGCTCCCCAGTGTCAGTATTACGTTGCTCACTAAACCACCATTATTTTTATGCCAGGGTTATAATAAGAACTTTTTAAAAAAACGGAGAGAGGGTGTTGAATAGTCTCGGAACCCATAATACTTAGAGAATGGTTAGTTTCCAAGAGACCAGTTTGAGAAATTTTAAGCTGTCCCAATATTTTAGATATATTATTAAATGGCTCCGGGGGGTAAAAGATGACTACACGTTCTCCAGGTCAATAGATTCTCACAAAATATGGCCTTAGAATGACACATGTATCCAAAATAAATACTTCGACTGACGCTTCGAGCGCGCGCAAGCAAACCCAAATAAATAAATCAAACACACACGCACATATGAGCGATAATTTACTGGAATCATGACCTATGTTAACCAAGCGAGCCTTGAGAAGCCATGGTGGCCTTGATGTGAGTAGCCTCGCCACCAACACACCATGCACGCACCTCCCCGCCACGTAGCAGGCCATCACGCACCTCACCAGGTAGCAGACCATCACGCACCTCCGGCTCCCACAACGTAGCAGGCCATCACGCACCTCCGGCTCCCATCACGTAGCAGACCTCTAAGTCATGCAAGCCAAGCTCACCCTCCAAGAATAGGCACAATTGATCAAATGTAAGGGGGTATCCAAGGCGAGAGAAAGACGGAAATAAAATTAATTTCAAGAAACTGTGGCTCACTGATGCGTAGGGCCCAGAGGTAGAAAGACACGAGTTCAGACTTTTCTGAACAGAAAAGTGTGATCTAGGTTATCTTGAGGCTATCTTGAGATGATTTTTGCCTCTTCTCAAGCTAAACGAAATTTCTTTGATCCCAAACCTGTTTCCGCTATGCTCTGCCTTCCCGTCATATCTGAACTCAAAAATCTCACTAATACCCTTTGTCCTTGATGCAAAGCTCGCCTTTTGACAAACTAACACACGTCGTAGTAATCTGGTTTCACACTGCTCCTCCTGCTTCCAATGCTGCTGGTGTCTACTCTATTTCCTGTTCGTCTTGTCCTCTCCAATACTTTGGTGAAATTGGTCGTACTTTGATTGTCAGACTTAAGGAACACAAATTAAGTGGTAAGTCTGCAGACACAAACAATGCTCTCTTCTGTCATGTTAGGGACTCTTGAGCATCCTATAGATTGGTCGACTTCTAAAATAATCTTTCCAGCCTCTACTCTTCACAGACGCCGTCTTGTCGAATCGGCTCTGATCCACAATATGCCCAACATGAACCTTAGTCTTGGTTTTGCTGCTGTTGACGCTTCCCCTGCACAGTACATACTTAAATGCTCAAACCTTCTTAACAAACGTGACCAGACTTAAGCCTATCCCTCTTTTATTCTTACCCATTTTCTAATTCTTACATCCTTCTATTCTCATCATATTCTTACCTTTCATCTTTCTCTTACCTGCTCCTCATCTCTCATCTAAATCTTACTTGATTTATTTGTCTGTCCCTTCCTCTCCTCGTTACGGGTTATTCATGCCCGTGCCACCTCTTGGGTGGCTTACCTGATACCTGGTTGATGGGGTTCTGGGAGTTCTACTCCCCAAGCCCGGCCCGAGGCCAGGCTTGACTTGTGAGAGTTTGGTCCACCAGACTGTTAACGCAGGCCCACTTAATCTTCATAAATAACTCAATTACCTCTCCTCTATCACACGACTTGATAATGGTCCATGACGGACCAAAACGTCGTCGTTTCCCCATCTTCTGATGTGTGGTTTGGTCATATCTTCAGCCACGTTGTTGTG